CATTCTTCTAGTATTTTTCAGATGCTGGGGTGAAAGCCTGCTAGCACAGAGAGGGAAAGAAAGCACCCAGCTGACCTTCCACCTCATCCATGGTCCCAGAAAAATATTTCTTCTCCTCTGCCACCTCAAACAGCTCTCTCTCCAAACTTCATGTCCCTCTTTCCTCTCCTGTTCTTCTCTATATCCATTCTCCCGACTCTCCCTTGGTTTCTATGGTTTTTTGCTTAATTAGCCTATGTTCAAATTATCCTATATCCAAATGGTTACTTGCTCTACCTCTTGCTCTGTGGTTGACTTTATTTACTCCTGCTTACAATATTCAAGCAGAAAGCACTTGGGTTAAAGGTGTGTGCTAAGGTTTAGCCATACCACAAATAGAAACAGGTTTTTTTCCAGTAAATAACACAATAAAGTGGGTTGATGGTGTGATCAAATATCCTTTAACATTCAACATCTTACCAAATCAAAGGACTTTATACTCAAAGTGATGGGCATAAATGGCAGAGAATCATGTTGTATGTGGCTTTGTTCAGGAGGATGTTGGGACTGAAGGGAAGTCCTAGGGTGGAGATGTGAATAAGTTAAGATGTTATGCCTCTCTCGTTGCTCACATCTGGCTATTGAGATATACTTAACTATGCAAAGGTGTTGCATTTTTAACTATGTAAAGATACGTTGCATTTGTTTATGTTGCAGAATGAGGTTTGTTGCTGTTTTACCTTACCTGCCTAAGGCACCTGATTAGTCCCATAAAAAGCTGAATGGCCAATAGAAAGGGAGGAGGGAGGTATAAAAAGAACTCCCAGTCATGGGGAGTAATGAGGAGGAGGAATTTAGGCTTGAGGAAGAAATAAAATGAGACATTGGAAATGCCAGGGACCAGCCAGATAGACATGAAGGAAGCATAAAAGTATGACATACTGAATGAAAGAAAGTTAAAAAAAAAAAGCCCTGAAGAAAAATGAAGATGAATAGAAACAGGTTAAATGAAGTTAATAGAGCTAGGGACACCCCTAAGCTAACCCTAAGCTAAGGCTGAGCATTCACAATTAGGAAGTCTCTGTGTCTTTATTTGGGAGCTGGTTGGAGGCTCAAAGAAAATTCCAACTACAAATGGCATCCAATGTGAGGTCTAAATTTTCTGGTAAAGCCTGAGAAAGCTGAATAAAAGGTGGGGGATACCTCTCCTTTAAGAGGTGTTGCTGTGCAGCAAAGCACTTAAGCAGCTAAGTAAAACTGCCTGCCACAGTACAGGCACCAACTTCAGAGAGCTGCAGCAGTTATATACAGCTCCTCGGTAAACACAGCTCCCAGTTAAACTGAGCTCTCAGCCAGTCCTGCAGGCATAAGGCTCAGCTCTTACTGACCTGAGGAGGGGGCAGAGCCAACCACCAGAGTCACAAGGCAGAGGGCCTAGCTGCCACTTAGCAGTTTAAAACTTGGCTCATGTGGTCAGAGAAGCTATAGGTGCACAGTAAAACAGTTCCCGACTGAAAAACCATTAAGCAGGTTACAGTGTGTGTAGGTGTTTAAGAAAGAGAAGAAAATGAGTATACATAGTCATAGGCAAAAGTAAATAGTTTAAAAGTAATTAAATAATTAAGAAAGAATGAAGTACTATAAAAAGAATAAGCCAGGTAAAGGTGGGAAATACACAGCGAGTCTAGATCCTGTATGGTGCTGTGTTGACTGAATTTTTGACTGCTGATAAGCGAATAGCAGCTTCTGAGAGACTTGGGATTTTAAAAGGAATTGATGGTTTTTAACCTGAGTAGATACTTTAGAGATATATTATCTTTGATATGGAATTCAGAAAGTGTATTGCATTGGGGGAGAGGTTATGTTTTGTAGCTATGCAGCTCATTTTAAAATGTAATATAAAGTTCTAGTCCTTAAAAGCTATTATTAGAAACTGTTTAGAATAATTTAAACATGCAGGTTAGTACTTAGTCATCTATGACAATCAAACTTGTAGTTCTGTTAGGTATGCTTTCAAGCTTAAAACAGGTATATTTTAGATAGGCAATTTTCAGACACTTCAGAGACTTGCAGAATGTGACATTTAAGATGTTTAATAACAACATAAGGCTTTTCATGACAGTGAGACATGTCTGCTCCTGGCAGCACCAGTCTACTTCACAGAAGATGATGGGCATAGAAGAAATTCCATATGGAGTTTACTTTCATGGTGGCAAAGCCACCCATTTGTGCAAGAAACTGCCCTTGCCTCTACTGCTGACAGTATACTCTACAAAGTAGATAAGCAGAACACAGAAGAAAAGGACTGCTGAACTTTGACAAGACAAGGTATGGGGCAGTCATTCAAAATTCCTGCTTTACAAAAAAGTCTGTCAGACATTCTAGGCCTGGGATTGAAAGTGGATGCCCCAGTGGTGCAGAGGAAACATGGGCAACTGTCCAGGAAGCAAGCTGCTTTTGTCATTTGTATAGATTTGGAAGTTTCTTGCTCTGCATTTCCTATCTACTTAGGTAATATTATATTCTTCTTGGGACTCTGATGGAATTGAAGAGGAGATAGTTTACTTACAGTTTTCCTTGTTACCAAATTCAAAAAAATTACAAGAAATAGATGTGAAGTTTATAAAGTTGAGAGACATAAAACTTAAATTGTTTAACTTAAACGTTTTGGAGTCTATAAAGATAATTTAGAGTTTGTAATACAAGTTAAGATAGAAAGCAAATTAGATACACAACTTAGATACACCAAGATAGGATAGATAATAAAGCATTTTCTCTGAATTTGCCAAATGCAAATGGTACTGGATATTGTAAATGCAATTCTTACTTGGTTAATTGTTTCTATTGCATATCGTCTTTTTATGTTAAAGCTAAAAACTTTCTTTTTCTTTAGACAAAAGAGGGGAATGTGGAAGAATATTTGTTTAACTATATGAAGATATGTTGCATTTCTTTAACTATGTGTTAAAGTAAACATGTGTTGCTATTTTAACTTGCCTGCCCAAGGCACCTGATTGGTCTAATAAAAAGCTTAATGGACAATAGCGAAGGAGGAAGCATATGTGGAAGTTCTAGGGAGAGTGAGTAGGAGAAGGAAACTAAGTTCAAGGAAGAAAGAAAAGGAGACAACAGGGACACCTCAGGGACAGATGGACAGACAGACACAGAGGAAGCAGACAAGTAGGACATACAGAATGAAAGAAATCTAAAGCCCCAAGGCAAACTGGAGATGAATAGAAACAGCTTAAATTAAGATGAAAGAGCCAGTGGGACAAGCCTAAGCTAAGGCTCGGCATTCAAAATTAATAAGTTTCCATGACTTTATTTGGGAGTCAGGTGGAAGCCCAAAGAAAATTCCAACTATATCTGACTCCTTTGCACACCACCTACCAGCTTCCATGTCCTGCCCCACTTTGCAGTCTTTCCATCACACCTTGCACTAAGAAAGTCCAAAGTATACTCAGACCCCACATAGCCTATCACCAAGAAGCTACAAAAGCTGCTACTTGGGGGTCAGGTTCCCTGTCTGTCCAGTGACTTCAGCACCATTGTGTGCTGCCAGAGGTGCCATGATCTCTGTTGCCCTTAATTGCCACCTCTCTGTCTCTGTCTGTGTCTCTGTCTCTGCTTCTGTGTCTCTGTCTCTGTCTTCACCCCCCTCTCTCTGTGTGTATGTGTACAATCTATACCACATGTTCTTCTGGTCCATGCCCAGTTCTGGCATAGGGCGTGGTGGGTAGCTGGAATTCCAGAACTTCCATGAGTACATAAGCTCTACCAGTAAAGGAATATGGCCATGAATATGACCAGAGGCCACAGTTCATCTCCAGCCAATTGACTCATGCTCATGGGTACATCACTGTTCCAGGACTTTCTGGAAACATCCTACATCAACCACCATAGCCACCTAAGATCAGGAAGGAGACCTCTTGCTGTAACTTAGAATCTGGTACCCAATAAGGTAAGCAAGGCTGCCTGTACTTTGTCCTCTGCCTTGAGTTGAGCTCCTGTGTTTTCTCCTCAGTCTGAGTGTCAGGAGGGGTCAAAGCAGTCTAGGCAGATTTGCCTCAGTTTCTCTCCCCAGGTGCTTACTCAATGGAGGGCATCAGGTTGTGGGAACCCACTGCACAGGCACTGTGCTATGTTAGGCTAAGGATTGTGAGCATGGGGCACAAATGTCCACTGAAACCCTACTTCCAGTGACATAGAAAGGTGACTCATGTGTCAGGCCACACATGCAGAGCTTAAGGAACTACAGAAAATTACCTCAGGCTAGAGCAAGACCTTCCAGCACCATTAAAAGTTGGGAAAAGGAGGGTGTGGAGATGGCTGAACATTGAGGAGCTGGCTACTCTTCCTTCGGACCTAGGATTAAATCCCAGCACCAACAGGAGGTTTATAACTAATTGCAATGCAAGTTCCTGGATATTCCATACTCTCTCCTATCCTTGGACGCTGCACACATTTAGGCAAGTATCCATGCATATGCAATAAAAAAAAAAGGGAAGGGGAGAAGAACAGGAGACACTGACAAAATGATGTGGTTATTCCTGTAGCAAGGAAGGGGTCTGTGAAGTGGTGACCCCAGCTTGGTGAGTGTTTTGTCCTGCACATCCCAAAAGCCAATGTCTAGCTACTGTTGGACTATGGTGGACCTTCTCTAACGTTCCTATAACAAGAGTCATTGGGAGGACATTTTATTTTTAACAAAAGCAAAATCAAAATGAGTGTTGGCACACAACTGTGTCTCAAGGCATACTATGGAGGTTGGGGTCTTCAGATGCTTAAGATGCTGACCTCTGATTGTATAGAGACTGAGATGAGCCTGGAGATGTGTTCCATGCCTGCAGAACAGTCTGCCTGGCCCCACTAAGCCAGCAAATTTTTAAGACTCCAAGATTCTTGAACATTGCTAGTGAGTAATACCCATTGTATCTGTCCCAGTGCTTTCTGGGAGCACTCTCCTTGGTCTAGAGAGATGGCCCCAGACAGGACAGCAGGATCCTGCCCACCCTCCTGGATTCTGAATCATCACCTTTGATACAGTAGATTTTCTCTTGCATCCTTTCACTGCAGCAAGCCTGAGCCTCTTTACCATTTGTGGCACTCCAGGGTCTTGGGGACCTAGACCAACATCTGTCCCCAAAACAAGAATTGTGCTGATTTCCAGTTCAAACCATTCACATTTCCTCAAGAACCAGTGAGTCTTGACTTCTGTCTGTGGTTTGTCCCTAAGCCAGCATCCATCCATGGGTTTTTCTGTGTGACCTAGGGTCAATCACTGAACACCAGCACAGCCACCTCTCTTCCTACTTTGTCACAATGCTTCCCCCTCTCATTGTCCCTTTCCTTCCCTCCTGGGTCTCTTCATCACCTCCTGACAACCTGCACTCAACACCTTTGTTTGAGAAAGGATCTCCTTGAGTAATCAGGTTATATAGCCCAGGCTGGCCTTGAACTTGAAATCTTCTTGCCTCAGCCTCTCCCAAACTATACTGCAGGCCTGTGCCACTGTTCTTGGCTCAGTAAACACTTTCCTCACAGCACTGAGTTGCTCATAGGGGAGGTCTGAGGAGGAGGGGAAAGACTGGTTGTAGACTGTGGTCTTGGGACACAGTGGAGACAAGGATGGGGGAGGTCCAGGAATCTGAGTGGCAGCCACAGGTCTGGTTTATTGGACATCATGCAGCACAAGCTGGGGAGAAGGATGGAGCTGCTGTCCTTGCTAGCGCATGACTGCACAGAGCTCGTAGGGGACTGGGGTAGCTGGCAATGTGAAGATGCTTTGGGTGCTGGGCCGAGGCTGTCCATCAGGCACCGAGAAGCTAAAGCGCTGCAGGAGGCAGGTGAAGAAGAGGAAGAGCTCCATGCGGGCCAGGGGCTCCCCCAGGCATACTCTGCGGCCTGTGGGTGGGAGAGAGGCTTAGTCAGTCTGGGGTCTGGTTGATGCTGCACCCTCCAGGCACCTTGGGAAGAGACCTGGAGCCAGGCACCCCACAGCACCTGCTGAGAATGGCATGAAGGCCTCATGCTTCACAAAGCGGCCCTGGGCATCCAGGAAGTGTTCAGGATGGAAGTGGAGGGGCTTCTCCCAGACCGTCTCATCCTTCAGCACCGAGGACAGGTTGGGGATGAGGGTCGTCCCCTGGCAGGAGACACATGTGTGAACATGCACTTGGGTGGGGCTGCCAATACCCTGGTTACCATGACCACATACACAAACTCTTCCTGCACACACAGGATTCTTTTATTCACCTCAAACTCAGAGCCTCTCAGTGCCTTTTCTGGAACCATTCAAGGCCCTGTGAGAAAACTACCATAAGTACCCAAATAGAACCTGCAGTGTTCCCTGAAATACACTGAGGCTTATTTCACTGGACATCCCCCCTCACTGGGGAATCCTGGGTAATGGCTGTGATGTACTAACACTTAAGTTGTTCCCTTCACCATGTGGAAATTCAGGATGTGGTGGTCTTGGTCTTACAGCCTTTGTTTGCCTGGTTGTGATCCTGTGACAAGGGTGCCCATGCATACCTTGGGGATGAGGAAGCCCTGTACTTCAACATCACGGGACGTCATATGTGGGACATTCAAGGGGACAATGTCTCCAAATCGCTGCACCTCATGAATGACAGCATTGGTGTAGGGCATTCGGGCCTGGTCTGCCATCTCTGGATGCCGTACCTTCCCTATGACATCATCAATCTCCTGTTGAACACGGCCTGGAGAGACAGCATCTCCTCAGTGAAGCAGTTCCTTGGTGACTCTTCCTTGACCTTCCACCACTGGGTTAATAGTTGAGTTAAGACTCCCATCAGAATTGTGGGAGTCTGGGTCAAGCTGATGCTGGAGCCACCAGCTTCTCAGGGACTTCTATCTTTATTCCCTTATGCTCCCTCCCAGGCCCAGCCAGGCTCACTCTGCACATCCGGGTGCAGGATCATGAGGAGCAGGGCCCAGGACAGTGTGGTTGACGTGGTCACTATCCCCGCAGTGAACAGGTCAACCACCACCATGCGCAGGTTCTCATCATTGAAGCTGCTTTCAGGTCTCCCCTTGGCCTGGGCCAGACAGAGAGGGTAGGCTCAGGGACACAGAGAATAAGGACAAAGAAATCTGCCATTGTGTTCATGCACCCCAGGTGTTGGGTTCATAGGTGACATATAAACCCAAGTGGCCAGGCATCACAACTCATAGTCCAATGCAGCCCAAAGGACCTGACCCCCTCCTTTATGGCTGTCCTCACCTTCTCCACTTCAGACAGGAAGGCATCTGTCAGGTGTCGTGGTGGCTGTGCAGGATCCCAGGTTGTCTTGTGCTCAACCAACATCTTATCCAGGGACTCCATGAATGCAGTTAACTTGGGGAAGGCTTTGCCTGGCAGCCCAGGGATTTGAAGGAGCACTGGGATTGCATTCAGCACCTGTGAAAGAAACAGGTCTAGTTCAGTTTATTTCTATTTAAGAATGATTACTGGGCTGTGTAGTTGTGGCACATGCCTTTAATCCCAGGGCTCAGAAGGCAGAGGCAGGTGGATCACTGTGATTTCCAGGCCATCCTGTTCTACAGAGTTAGTTCAAGGACAGCCAGGATAGCATCACAGAAAAAAAAAAAAAAACTTACTCAGAAATCATTAGTGTGTTTGTGTGTGTGCATGCGTGTGTGTGTGTGTGTGTGTGTGTGTGTGTGTCGGTTTATGGGCATGCCTGATGTGCACTCACCTGTGCACAATTGCTCTTGTTTGGTGGTCAGGGAACAGCTTCTAGAGTAAAATCTATCTCCTACATGGGACCCAGGGATCTAGCTCAGGTCCCCAGCCTTGCTTGGAAAGCTCATTTACACATAGACCATCTATCTCTCTTGCCCCTGGATGCTATAACTGCTCATCTTCACATGGACCAGTCTTAGATCCCAACCTCTTCCACAAAGGACTCACAGACTGCTCCCTCCCATAACCTGCTTCTTCCTCAGTTCTAGCCTGTAGGTTGTCTTGTAGCCCAGGGTGAACAAAATTAATATTCTATCTTCAAATCTAACAGGCTTTTATGATTTCCATGTAGATAATGGGTAGAGGTTCTACCCCATTTCTAGAGCCCTTGGCCTTAGTCCATCCCTCCCCTCCTGTTATCTGAGGTTTGCCAAGGTCCAGGCCTTTCCCCCTGCATTTGACTCTCACACAAGGCCCTCTCCCTATGCACCCTGAATGCACTTTCATCTGATAGCCTTTACAGCACAGCAGTGGCCATGCACACTGCCCTGAGCCTCACACCTCAGCAATGAAGCCAGTGTCCTCTCCAAAACTTTCTTGTAACATCTTGAGCAGCCTGTTGAAGAAAGGGTCTCCATAGTCGAAGCGATGGGCATAAATGAGGGATGAAATCACATTGCATACACCTTTATTCAGGAGGGTGATGGGATTAAAGGGATGTCCTAGGAGCAGAGAATGCAAGCAAGTCATGATATTGCTCATAAGTGCCTGCCCCCATCTCCATCTCTCACCCGTCACCTACCTGCCTCCTGGGTGAAGGCATCACAGAGGTGACCAGCCTCCTCTGTCACCCACTGCTCCAGTGATTTCTTGCCCACGCCAAAGTCTCGCATGGTAGACACAGAGAATCGACGCTGCTCTCTCCACTCGGGTCCATAGGGTGCAAACACCACACCTGCAGGGACATCTGTGTGTAACCAAGGATACTTGGGTATGCTGTCTCCTCTTCTCCCAGTATTTCCCTGTGGTCAGTCTTAGCCATCAGTGCCCAGCACTTTGCTACCACATATGAGTACTTGCCATTTTGGAGGCTCCACCCTCCATTTCAGTGACTGTCCTTCCATTGCCTGACCACACCCCCTCCGTTAGGCCCTGTGCATCTTCTGTTCACTGCTCCTCAAGCCCTATTCTCTCTGCCTTGTCCCCACTATAGCTCTTTGCCTTTAGATTTGTGCCCAAAGCCCAGGTGATTATAGATGTGCATTGGAGGGCGGTCAGCAGTGTCCTCTCCACAGTTCACCAGCACTTCCCGCACCGCCTTCAGTCCATTGACCACGACCGCAGGCTTCCAGGCCATCTGTAGGCTGAACACATCTCCATAGCGCTGTCGAAGCTGAAGTAGAGGGACAGGACACTTAGGAAGTGAAGGTTCTTGGCAGACTTGAAGATCCAAGCTGAACACATGTCTGTGTGTTTGAGTGTGTGTGCCTGCACACCTATGCTTGTTTGTGTGTGCAAACAGGAGTTCATTGACTTGGTATTCATTGTTGAGCCTTAGTCCTGCCCTATGCTGGTCAAATGCTCTATCACTACATCTCTACACTGAGATCTGACACCTTGTGATTGGGGTATCCTATCTTCTAAATCCATACTAGATATGGTCATTCAGCAGTGGCCTTGCCAGAGCAAGGTCCTTGCCCCCTTCATAGCCCTCCATACAAGAGGAAATTCTGGTTCCCAAGATGAGCAGCAAGGCCTGAGACCACACAGCAGCAAGAGATTATAGCAAACATAGCCACTCCAACTGCTTTCTTTCATGACTGACAGGCTGCATTGGAACCTGACTCCTTCCCTATGTCCTTGAGACTTCAGCCACTGATGGGATCACAAAAAAACTGGAGCCTCCCAGACTTCTGCCCTGTAGTCCAACCTGTGTCCACACCTGTTTCTGTGGTTTTTCCCATACCGTGCCACAAGATAAACTATTGAACCTCCTTCCTCTTGGGGACCATCTTCCCGTCTACGCTGTGGCTTTAGTACCATAATGTGCTGCTAGGGGCATCATGACATCTACTGTCCCCCACCACCATCTCTCACCTTGTAAAAACTGTATGTCAAGTTCTCAAAGTCCAACTGCAGCAGGTTGCCCAGCCCAGGAAGTGGCACAGGACCTGGAGGGTAGCGGGCAGCCCAGAACTTGCGTCGGTGCATCAGGTCCACCAGAAGCAGGAAGATGGTCGTGAATATGACCACAGACCACAGGCCATCTCCAATCAGCAGTGCCATGGCTGCCCCACTGCTTTCCAGACTGTTTGGGGGACACCTGCTCCAGATGCCCAGAATCAGGAGAGACACTCTGAGGACACACTGGGCACCTGGTCCCTTATGAAAGGGAGAAGGCTGCACTTTGTTCTCTGCCTTGAGCCAAGTAGCCGTGTTTACTGTTCAGCCAGGGTGTGCAGGGAGGGGTGAGAAAATGACAGGGAAAATCAATCTCATAGGTTTCCACACTTTCTTCTCTCCTCGGGTGCCTATCCATGGGAGATGCTCAGTTTCTCCACAGGAAGCTGAACACAGCGGTTATGTAGGGGTGGACACTATGAGCACAATGGGCAGATGACCAATGGACCCTTCCTCAAGATGCAGCAAGTTCAGCAATATGCCACACATGGAGAGCTCTGAGGGGCCTGAGTGTATTGACTCAGAATGGATCAAGGATTTTTGAGGCTCCATTGAACACTTGGCTAGTAGGACATGAGGTCTGCCTGACTCTGCAGACTCCATCACTGTGTAGCAAGGGCCAGTGAAATGGCTTGTAGGGCAAACCAATGAGGGTACATGAGAGGCAGTGTGGAGAAGGCAGGTATATCCTGTGGAGGTATGAGTGAGGTCACTTACTCACGAGGAAGACCGATCTTACAACCTGGACACCTCTTAGCTCTGATCTGAGAAAGCAGAAAAACTGTCTACAAGTGTCAAGAGCATCCTGGGGAGGTCAGCAGGATGCCCAGGTTCTTGTCACGGGGAGGCCCCTGTGTCTGATTTAATTTTCCCTTTGCTTCTTGGTGGGTGGAGCCCTGTGTCTACAGCTATCATAGTAGGGCTAGAGAGGGTGTCTTTCTCATGCTACACAGGCAGAGTTTTGAGGGACTTGTGAACATTGCCACACACTGGAGTAAGACTGCCCTGTAGACTCAAGGACCACTTAGTTGGCAGGACACAAGGACCTTCCAGGACTGCAGGATACAACAGCTGGCTGTGACTGCAAGTGATACTTATTGGTTTTGTGGTGTGAGGGACGGTGGGAGGAAGGTGGCTGCAGCCTGTGGAGTCTTGTGGAAAGGTTTGTGGTTGGCGAATTGATCAGTAAGGCCAGACTCTGAACTGGCACTTCTTCCATGGGATCTGAGAAAGCTGAGAAAATGCCAACAACTGTCAGAGGGTCCCTGGAAGCTCTTAGGTTAGTTTGGGGACTGTCACATGGTGGTTTCAGTCTTTTATTCATAGTTTGTTTTGTTTTGTTTTTTGGTTTTTCGAGACAGGTTTTCTCTGTGTAGCTTTAGAGCCCTATCCTGGCACTCTCTTTGGAGACCAGGCTGGCCTCGAACTCACAGAGATCCACCTGCCTCTGCCTCCCGAGTGCTGGGATTAAAGACATGCACCACCAATGCCCAGCCACAGTTTGTTTCTTGGTGTGTCCTCCTCATGCCAGTTGCCTGTGGTTAGGGTGGACAGCCATGAGGAAAATGGAAAGATGACTCTGAGCCTTCCAATGAATAGCACGTGTATGCTTGGCCCTGCTGGGCAGACTGTACATAACAAACAACTCATCCCTCTCTAGGGTCAGAGAAGGTGCAGTCCCTGTCCTTTCTGGGGATCCAGACCTCTGAATTTCAAGGGATCAGAATTCACAATGGAATCCAGAGAGGCGTTCTGTGCTGCACCCAACAGTGTGGCAGAAGGGAGGCAGGAGCTGAGTTAGAGGGAATGAGCGGGGTCCACACAGTGTAGCAGCACGGCAGCACAGGGTGTCCTCCTCTCAGCTGCCCCTACCACCTTCTTTCTGACCACTTCTATATCACTAGGGACTGTGGGGACTCCATGCTGGTGGCTGAAGCCCCTGTCCCACCCTGTGGCTCACTTCTTGTTTCTGTCTTCCGCTTGGCCCTGCCCAACAGACTTATGGTAAGGTTGGCACCCTGGATTGATGAGCAGTCAACAGCTTCCTCTAGCTCCATCCTGACCCAAAAAGAAACGGTGCACAGTACTGAAGCTAACACAAGCATGTCAGGGCGGGGAGTAGGAGACAACTGAGACTTAGTCACTGAGAAGCTTAAACACATTTCTCCTGGGCTGACATAAGATACTCCCAGGGCCAGAGATGATTCCTGACAGTTTACTCTGGGGTTAACATCAGGACATGTCCTCCCTTTAGCAGTCTATCTCTTCTTGGCCATGTAAGACATGAAAGAGAAGCAATGGTGTTGACTAGGTGCCATCCCCCAGTGTGAGATAGGCAAACTCAGGCCTGATTTTCCTGTTTCAGGCTAAGTGAGGCCCAGAGAGGTAAGTGCACAGAGCAGGTGAGAGATGTCACACACTGTATGTTGTAAAGTGTTCCCTGGTCTGTCACCAGCTCTTGGGAGATGACCTGGATGCTCTGGTAAACATCTGCTTGTTGTCACTGTTTGCTTCCCTTCATCCTCAGTCTTTGCCTCCTCAGCCATGTGAACAATTGTGCCCTATCAGGATCAGTGTGGGGGGACTGGGGTCGGTATTCATGTCAGCTGCACAGGTGTGCCATGTCTGCAACAGCAAGCTGGAACAGAGTCCCTGGTCATCAGGGTTCATGGGTGTTTCCAGATTTGCAATTCTCTGTACACATGTCAACAGATAATCACTGTCCTTTGGACTCCACTGGAAGAGGACAAATGGAACCTGGGCATGTTTCTCCTGGACTCTGTCCTGTGTGCCATTTATCTTTCCTGGCTTCAACTGCCTGGGTTCCTTGAAGTGAAGACCAACAGTGAGTCTGGAGCCATTCCTAGGTCTGTTTTTCTTTCCCTAGCCACGGTGGGATGAGCAAACCCAGTCAGTTTGTTAAGAGTGATGGGACTCATTGGGATGACTGCGACTCTGATAGTGCTGCCTTGGGAAAACTTGGTTTGGGTAAAGGAAGGCCTGGCATTGTTTAGGGTTGGTGAAACTTTCACATCTGGTTGGTTACTTTATTGTTCCTGTATGATAGTGTGTTGCCTGTGGAATCATTGACCTATGCTTGAGATGACATAAGTACAATACTAAGAATCAACCTCATGTATAATTCCTGGATAAGTGTTGTTTATTATCAAAATGAAAACAAAAGAGACTTCTGAGCTAGATCAACACACTGAACTAATGTTGTGGAATATTAGTTAAAGATGTCTTACATTCTTTTATGTTGCATTTATTTATTTAACTATTTAATTCTGTCAAATTGTGTTACTTTGCCTGTGTAAAATACCTGATTGGTCCAATAAAGAGCTGAACAGTCAATAACCAGGCAGATAAAGGATAGGCAGGGCTCCCAGGTAGAGAGAATAAATAGGAGGAGAAGAGAAGAGGGAAAAGGAAAAAAAAAGTAGGAGAGAGAATGCCAGGGGCCAGCCACCTAGCCATACACCCAAAGAAAGGTAAAAGCCCAGAGGCAAAAGGTAGACAGGATAATTTAAGAAAAACTGGCTAGAAATAAGCCAAGTTAATGCCACACATTTATAAGTAAATATAAGTCTCCATATTTGGGGACTGGGTGGTGAGCTCTCAAAGAGTAAGAGTTTTCAAAAAAAATAATAATCAGCTCCATTTTTGCATTCCAACGTGATCCCAAATTTCCATGCATGGCCTAAGAAAGCTGAAGAAATAAAAAAAGAGAATACAGGTCATTTTAAGAATTTCTTCTGGACAGTGAGCCCTTCAGCAGCTGGTATCTTAAGTAGGAACCAAAAACTAAGTGAAAATGCCTGCATGGTGCAGGGCACTGGCAAACCAGAGTTGGGAGTTGGATGTAGTTCCTGGTCAGACACACTTTCCACTGTGTCTTATCTCTCTGGACCCAAGAAGCATGCAGAACCAGCCACCAAAGCCACATGGAGGTCCTAGCCATACCACTTGGTAGTTTTTTGTTCATGCAGACAAAAAGACCAGAGATGCACAGTAAAGACAGATCCCGATGGGGAAAAAAAAACTTCTGAATAGGTTACAGTGTGTTTAACAATGTGAGTAGGCTTAAGAAGAGAAAAGGTTATTGACAGTTGTAGAAAGAAATAATATTAAAATAATAAAGTCTTTACTCAGGGCTGTCCATTTCTGCAGGAACCAGGAAGGACATTGGTGTGGAGGACATTCGCTACCGTGAGTTCCAGTGCATTGCCAAAACCCCAGATGCATGGTCTCCTGGCCAAGCACCTGAGGGTTCACGTTATTGGTGTGTTCATTATGGCCCTGGGAGTTGCAGCTTCCTATAAGTTTAGTGTAGTTGAGCCCAGGAAGAAAATGTATGCAGATTTCTACAGGGACTACAACTCTATGAAGGACTTCAAAGAGATGAAGAAAGCTGGAATCTTCTAGAGTATGAAGTGACTTCAGAATGTACAGAATTCTTTGAATTGCACTCAATAGCAGTTCACTGCTGACCTGTGTTCCTCAACTATGAAACATGAGTATGTGGACTAAGGAGTAATATATCTCAATAAACAATGAACACTTTTATGGATTAACAAAAAGCCTTTACTCAGAAAAGTAAAGTAATATATAAAAAAGAATAGGCCATATAGAGATGGGAAATACACAGAAAGCCTGGGTCCTCTATGTTGCTGTATGACCTTTGATTGCTGGTAAGCAAATGACAACTGCTAGGAGACATGAGATTGAAAGAGGGATTGATGCAGTAAAACAGCCTAGATATTTTAAGAATACCTTAACTATAAAATGGAACTCAAAAAATGCATTGCTTTGGAAAAGAGGTTTTGTTTTTACTTCCACAGGAAATGAGAGGCTGTGGATTCCTTTAGGATTGATATGAAACAGGTTTGTTCAGGGAAGATCTCCTGAATCTTGATAGATGATATTTGTCAACAAAGTTTACACCTAGCTTTCCCCAGGCCTTGGCCATTATCTCAATTTCTTCAGGGACCCCTAAAGGTGCCTTGGCCCACAGACAATAGGAAACAGTCTGGAGAACACGATGCCCACATTCCCAAGAAGTGTGGGGTGGTTTTTGGTTATTTTTTGGGTTACAGATGTTAGTTATCATTTGGGGGAATATAGAAATATAGGATAAAAAGACAACTATTAAATATATTTTACATCAGTATGGAATTTGGTATATTGATACTAAATTAAAGTTATTTGTTTTATACTGATGCATGTTTCTATTCCTGTTTGGGGTACTGTGCTTATGCAGCTCATTTAATCATGCAATGTATAACTAAGAAATTAGGTTAGTGGTTAATCTAACCTAATCAAATTTGTAGTCACATTAGGTATGCTTTCAAGGTGAAACATGTATATTTTAGACAGAAGATTTTCAACCACTTCAAAGACCTATAGAATGTGGCATTTAAGATGTCCAGTAACCTGAGGTTTCTCATGACAATGAGACATATCATCTGGCAGCACAAATTGACTTCATAGAAGGAAGATGGGCATCGAAGAAACTCCATACGGAGTTTGTTTTCAATGTGGTAAGTCCCTGGTGTCCTCCTCTCCTTTTTTCCTTCTCTTTATACACTCTGCCTGGCAGCTCCGCCTGTCCTTTCTCCTGCCTTGATATTGGTTGTTCAACTCTTTATTAGACCATCAGGTGTTTTAGACAGGCAAAGAAGCACAACTTCACAGAGTTAAATAACTATAACATAACCAGAAGTCACATACCTTAAAATAATATTCTACCACATTTCCCCTTTTTGTGTAACAAAAAGAAAGTTTGTAACTTTAACATAGTAAAATTATATACAACAAACCAGTTATCAAGCAAGAATTAATTAACAATATTCTATCAATTTGCATTTCAGCAAATTTAGAGAAATAATACATTATCTATTCTATCTTTGAGTGAATCCAAAGTTTTATATATAACTTGCTTTCTATCATATCTAAGGAAAGCTACAACTATAACAACCTAGTCTTCAACTCCATCAAAGGCACCAAACGGATATAACAGTATTTAAGTAAACAAAAAGTGCATTGCAAATGACTTCCAAAAACTCTAGAAATGACAGAGACATGTGACTGCCTCTACAGTCACCCAAAGTTCTTCTGCAACATTGGGGCATCTATCTTCAGCCTATAGGACCATAGTATCTGGCAGACTTTTCAATGAAGCAAGAAATTGGAAAGACTGTCCTGCCTATATTGACAGTTTGTCGGTCACTTTCCTATGTGTCCTGCACAGTATCTGGCATATCTTCCACGAAGCAGGAACCCTGAAGGACCATCTTGCCTTGTTTTTGGCAAAGTTCAGCAGCCACTTTCCTGTGGGTCCTGTATTCCAGTTTATACAACATTTTGTCAAGCAGTCCAGGCAAGAGCAGCTTCTTTCCCAAATCGCTAACCTTGCCATAATGAAAGCAAACTACATAAGGAGTTTCTTTGATACCCATCATTTCTGAAGTAAATTGGTGCTGCCAGGAGCAGATGTGTTCAATTGTCATGAAAAATCCCTAAATTAACAAAATATTTTAAATGCCATGTTCTGTAGGTCTTTGAAAGGTTTGAAGACAATCTATCGATCTAAAATATATTTCTGTATGATCTGGAAAACATACCTAGCACATCTACAAATTTGATTCTTATAGATAACTAACTACTGACCTGTGTTTTTTGATTATTCTAAATAGTTTGTAATAATAGCTCTTAAAAACTAGAATGTTACCTTACATGAACTGCCTAGGTAAAATACCTTAAACAAGAATAGAGACATATATACAATATGTTGTAACAAAAATAACCTTAAATTTGTATCAATATACAAAAAAATCCTTTAAATAAGAGTAGAAACATACATACAGTGTGTTGTAACAAAACGACCTTAAAGCCGGGCGTTGGTGGTGCAGGCCTTTAATCCCAGCACTCGGGAGGCAGAGGCAAGTGGATCTCTGTGAGTTCGAGGCCAACCTGGTCTCCAGAGCGAGTGCCAGAATAGGCTCCAAAGTTACACAGAGAAACCCTGTCTCGAAAAACCAAAACAACAACAACAAAACGACCTTAAATTTGTATCAATATGCAAAATTCATTTAAACAAGAGTAAAAACATATATACAGTGTAACAAAATTGACTTTCAATTTGAAGCCACATACCAAAATTCCTATCAAAGCAAAATATCTGAGATTAATAATTATTTCTATATTCCTATAGTCCCCTAAATTATTACAAACATCTATAACCCACAAAATAACCAAAAGCTTCCCACAATCCAGCTCTTGGGATTGTGGATGTTGTGTTCTCTAGACTGCTTCCTGCTGAATGTGGGTGAAGACATCTTTAGAGTCCTAAAGAGAAAATTTGAGATAATGGCCAAGTCCTGGGAAGACCAGCAGTAACCTTTTTTGAAAGCTATCACCTGTCCAGTTTCAGGAGGTCTTCCTGATCAAACCAGATCCATCTCAACCTGCAGCAAATCCACAGCCTCTTGTTTCCTGAGGAAACAAAAACAAAACCACTTCATTAAAGCATCTTTCATTTCCATTTGACAAATACATTTTTGACACTTTTAAAGTTAAGGCATTCTTAAAATATCTAGGCTGGTTTATTTCCAAAGTCCCTCTTTCCGTTCTAGGTCTCTTAGCATCTGTCCTTTGCTTTTCAGCAATCAAAAAATTCAAAATCAACACAATAGCATCTGTGTATTGTAACAAAATGACCTTAAATTTGTATCAATATACACATCTTACACACAATATACACAAGGAAATTCATATTTCCTTGTGTATTTCCCATCTTTACATGACTTATTTCTTTTTATTACTTTTACTGTCACTTTAAAGACTTTATTGTATTAATTTTAAAATATTCCTGTTCATACCCCTTTTCTTCTTTCTTAAGCCCATACACATTGTAAAACGCACTGGAACCTATTTAGAGGTTTTTCCATCTGGACCTCTTACTGCACACCTTTTAGCCTTTTCTGACCACAGGAGCAAACTTTAGACAGATAAGTTACACCTGGACACTCCACCCAGCTCTCAGCTGGTTCTGCCTGCTTCTCAGGTCATGAGAGCCAAGCCTAAAGCTTGTGTCTTTGTCAGAGTTTGGTCTCAACAGGAACTTCATTAAATGATCCTACCTGTGGAAGCCTGTACTTGTGTTGCCGCAAGCGGTTTTGTTTGTTTGTTTGTTTGTTTTTCGAGACAGGGTTTCTCTGTGTAGCTTTGGAGCCTATACTGGTACTTGCTCTGGAGACCAGGCTGCCCCCGAACTCACAGACATCCACCTGCCTCTGCCTCCTGAGTGCTGGGATTAAAGGCGTGTGCCACCATCGCCTGGCTGCCACAAGCGGTTTTTACTTAGCTTGCCATTTCTGTTTCTATTTAGCATTGCCAGCTGAACACCAGTGCCTCTTAAGGAAGCCATGTCTTCTTCCCAGCTTTCTCAGGCTCTGGATGGATATTCGAGCCCCATGTTGGTACACAACTATGTAGTAAGATTTTTTTTTCTTTTTGGGGGGCCCACCACCCATCTCCCAAAAGAATCACACATGGAGGTTTATTCTTAGTTATGAATGTCAGACCTTAGCTTGGCTTGTTTCTAGCCAGCTTTTCTTAAATTATTCTGTCTACTTTAGCCTCTGAGCTTTTCTGTTCTCTTCTGTAAATCTTACTCTTACTTCATAGATTGCTGTGTAGTTGGAGGCTGTGTGGCTACCCACTGACATCTCCCTCTCCTTCCCGACTCCTTCTTTTCTTTCTATTCTCTGCATGCAAGCCTCACCTATCCTTGCCTCCTGCCTGCTATTGGATATTCAGCTCTAAACCATCATGTGTTTTAGACAGGCAAAAACAAAAAACAAAAAACAAAACAAAACCCGTAGCTTCACAGAGTTAAACAATTGCAGCATAAACAAAAGTCACACAACTTAAAATAATATTCTACCACAACTCAAATTATTTTTCAGGATCCCCAAAAGATGCCATCACCCCCAGACAGCAGGAAGTTATTTTAAGAACACGGTGCCCACTTTCCAAAGAGGTGGGGCAGGTGGTTTTAGTTCACTCAGGGGCTTATGGATATTTGTCATTATTTAGGGGGGTTGGTTATAGTTGTTGTTGGCAATGGTCAGGAAAAAAGCTGAACAAAGGAGATTAGATTCAGGGTTCTAGTTATGAAAAGAAAGGGGGATATAGATATGATTGGATAAAGGGGTAGATTATTAAATCTACTTTTAAACCAAAAAGGCAACTACTAGTTTTAAATATTTTACATTGGCTTGGATTTTTGTACATTGATATAAAACTGAGACTATTTTTGTTACACAGTATATATGTTATAGAAAAGATAGGATAAAAGGTAGATTACTGAATATACATTTAAACCAAACAAAGCAACTATTAGTTTTAAATATTTTACATTG